TGAAATCGAAAGGTAAAGCAAAGTGTTGAGTTAACTCCTCTGTCTTCGTGTAAACGAAAAAAAGGTCACAGCAAATGAAATGAATTGGAAAGTATATTCAATAAGGAAACACATCATAAACTTATGACAATTTACTTCTGGGTTAACTCCTCTGTCTTCGATGTAAACGAAAAAGGTCCCACATGATCACGGCAAAGTGTTGAAATCGAAAAGGCAAATTGGAAAAGTATATTCAATAAGGAAACACATCATAAACTTATGACAATTTACTTCTGAGTTAACTCACCTGTCTTCGTGTAAACGAAAAAAGGTCCACATGATCACAGCAAAGTGTTGAAATCGAAAGGTAAATTGGAAGATATATATTCAGCAAACACATCATAAACTTATGACAATTTACTTCTGAGTTAACTCCTCTGTCTTCGTGTAAACGAAAAAAGGTCACATGATCATGGCAAAGTGTTGAAATCGAAGGTAAATTGGAAAGTATATTCAATAAGGAAATATCATAAACTTATGACAATTTGCTACAAGGAGTTAACTCACCTGTCTTCGTGTAAAACGAAAAGGTCACATGATCACAGCAAGTGTTGAAATCGAAGGTAAATTGGAAAGTATATTCAATAAAAACACATCATAAGAAGCTTATGACAATTTGCTTCTGAGATAACTCCTCTGTCTTCGTGTAAACGAAAAGGTCCATGATCACGGCAAAGTGTTGAAATCGAAAGGTAAATTGGAAAGTATATTCAATAAAAAACACATCATAAACTTATGACAATTTACTTTCTGAGTTAACTCACCTGTCTTCGATACTAAACGAAAAAAGATCACATAATCACGGCAAAGTGTTGAAATCGAAAGGTAAATTGGAAAGTATATTCAATAAAGGAAACATCATAAACTTATGACAATTTAACCTGAGTTAACTCCCTAATATTTCATTAGCCAAACGAAAAAGGTCACATGATCACAGCAAAGTGTAGAAATCGAACAGTAAATTGGAAAGTATATTCAATAAAACATATCATAAACTCATGACAATTTACTTCTGAGTTAACTCACCTGTCTTCGTGTAAACAGGTCACATGATCACGGCAATTGTTGAAATCGAACAGTAAATTGAAAAGTATATTCAATAAAACACATCATAAACTTATGACAATTTACTTCTGAGAATGTCCTCTGTCTTCGTGTAAACGAAAAAGGTCACCATGATCACGGCAAAAGTGTTGAAATCGAAAGGTAAATTGGAAAGTATATTCAATAAAGAAACACATCATAAACTTATGACAATTTTACTTCTGAGTTAACTCACCTGTCTTCGTGCAAACGAAAAAGGTCACATGATCACGGCAAAGTGTTGAAATCGAAAGGTAAATTGGAAAGTATATTCAATAAAACACATCGCAAACTTATGACAATTACTTCTGAGTTAACTCCTCTGTCTTCGTGTAAACGAAAAAGGTCACATGGTCACGGCAAAGTGTTGAAATCGTAAAATTGGGTATGTTCAATTGGAAACACATCATAAACCCTTGACAAGTTAACTCACCTGTCTTCGTGTAAACGAAAAAAGGTCCATCAAATAGAAAAACAGTAAATTGGAAAGTATATTCAATGACATCATAAAATTTACTTCTGAGTTAACTCACCTGTCTTCAAATGCAAAACGAAAAAGGTCACATGGTCACAGCAAAGTGTTGAAATCGAAGGTAAATTGGAAAGTATATTCAATAAAAACACATCATAAACTTATGACAATTTACTTCTACAAAGTTAACTCCTCTGTCTTCGTGTAAACGAAAAAGGTCACATGGTCACGGCAAAGTTGTTGAAATCGAAAGGTAAGTGGAGAGAGTATATTCAATAAAAACACATCATAAACTTATGACGAATTTACTTCTGGAGTTAACTCCTCTGTCTTCGTGTAAACGAAAAAAGGTCACATGATCACGGCAAAGTGTTGAAATCGAAAGGTAGAATTGGAAGGAAGTATATTCAATAAGAAACACATCATAAACTTATGACAATTTACTTCAGAGTTATCTCCCTGTCTTCTGTTGTAAACGAAAAGGTCACATATGATCATGGCAAAGTGTTGAAAATCGAGCAGTAAATTGGAAAGTATATTCAATAAAGAAAGCACATCGCAAACTTATGACAATTTACTTCTGAGTTAACTCCTCTGTAATTCGTGTAAACGAAAAAAGGTCACATGATCACGGCAAATTGGCAAAATCGAAAGGTAAATTGGAAGAGTATATTCAAAAAGAAAACACATCATAAACTTATGACAATTTAGCTTCTGATTAACTCCTCTGTCTTCGATATGTAAACGAAAAAGGTCCATGATCACGGCAAAGTGTTGAAATCGAAAGGTAAATTGGAAGTATATTCAATAGGGAAACACATCATAAACTTATGACAATTTACTTCACAAGGTTAACTCACCTGTCTTCGTGCAAACGAAAAAGGTCACATGATCACAGCAAAGTGTGAAATCGAAAGGTAAATTGGAAAGTATATTCAATAAGAAACACATCATAAACTTATGACAATTTACTTCTGAGTTAACTCCTCTGTCTTCGTGTAAACGAAAAAAGGTCCGTAATTTTCACGGCAAAGTGTTGAAATCGAAAGGTAAATTGGAAAGTATGTTCAATAAAGAAACACATCATAAACTTATGACAATTTACTTCTGAGGTTAACTCACCTGTCTTCGTGTAAACGAAAAGGTCCACATGATCACAGCAAAGTGTTGAAATCGAAAATTAAGGGTGGAAGGAAGTATATTCAATAAGGAAACACATCATAAACTTATGACCAATTTGCTTTGAGTTAACTCCTCTGTCTTCGTGTAAACGAAAAAGGTCACATGATCACGGCAAAGTGTTGAAATCGAAAGGTAAATTGGAAAAGTATATTCAATAAGGAAACACATCATAAACTTGTGACAATTTACTTCTGAGTTAACTCTGTCTTCGTGCAAACGAAAAAGGTCACATGATCACGGCAAAGTGTTGAAATCGAAAGGTAAATTGGAAAGTATATTCAATAAGAAACACATCATAAACTTATGACAATTTACTTTGTTAACTTCTCTGTCTTCGTGTAAACGAAAAGGTCACATGATCACGGCAAAGTGTTGAAATCGAAAGGTAAATTGAAAGTATATTCAATAAGGAAACACATCATAAACTTATGACAATTTACTTGAGTTAACTCACCTGTCTTCGTGTAAACGAAAAAGGTCACATGATCACGGCAAAGTGTTGAAATCGAAAGGTAAATTGAAAGTATATTCAATAAGGAAACACATCATAAACTTATGACAATTTACTTCTTGACTTAACTCCTCTGTCTTCGTGTAAACGAAAAAGGTCACATGATCACGGCAAAGTGTTGAAATCGAAAGGTAAATTGAAAGTATATTTAAGGAAACACATCATAAACTTATGACAATTTACTTCTGAGTTAACTCACCTGTCTTCGTGTAAACGAAAAGGTCACATGATCACGGCAAAGTGTTGAAATCGAAAGGTAAATTGGAAAGTATATTCAATAAGGAAACACATCATAAAACTTATGACAATTTATATTCTGAGTTAACTCACCTGTCTTCGTTGCCAAACGAAAAAGGTCACATGATCACGGCAAAGTGTTGAAATCGAAAGGTAAATTGGAAAGTATATTCAATAAGGAAACACATCATAAACTTAATGACAATTTACTTGAGTTAACTCTCTGTCTTCGTGTAAACGAAAAGGTCACATGATCACGGCAAAGTGTTGAAATCGAAAGGTAAATTGGAAAGTATATTCAATAAGGAAACACATCATAAACTTATGACAATTTACTTTTGAGTTAACTCACCTGTCTTCGTGTAAACGAAAAGGTCACATGATCACGGCAAAGTGTTGAAATCGAAAGTAAATTGAAAGTATATTCAATAAGGAACACATCATAAACTTATGACAATTTTTTGAGTTAACTCACCTGTCTTCATTAGCAAACGAAAAGGTCACATGATCATGGCAAAGTGTTGAAATCGAAAGGTAAATTGGAAAGTATATTCAATAAGGAAAACATATCATAAACTTATGACAATTTCTTACTTTGAGTTAACTCCTCTGTCTTCGATGTAAACGAAAAAGGTCACATGATCACGGCAAATTGTTGAAATCGAAAAGTAAATTGGAAAGTATATTCAATAAAGAAAACACATCATAAACTTATGACAATTTACTTCTGAGTTAACTCCTGTGTTCGTGTAAACGAAAAAGGTCACAGATCACGGCAAAGTGTTGAAATCGAAAGGTAAATTGGAAAGTACATTCAATAAGGAAACACATCATAAACTTATGACAATTTACTTTGAGTTAACTCACCTGTCTTCGTGCAAACGAAAAGGTCACATGATCACGGCAAAGTGTTGAAATCGAAAGGTAAATTGAAAGTATATTCAATAAGGAAACACATCATAAACTTATGACAATTTACTTCTGAGTTAACTCACCTGTCTTCGTAAACGAAAAAAGGTCACATGATCACGGCAAAGTGTTGAAATCGAAAGGTAACTGGAAAGTATATTCAATAAGGAAACACATCATAAACTTATGACAATTTACTTTGAGTTAACTCCCTGTCTTCTGAAAAGGTTATGATCATGGCTGTAGAAATCTTCGTGTAAACGAAAAAAACTTATGACAATTTATGTTAATCACGGCAAAAAGTTGAAATCGGCAAATTGTAAAATTGAAAGAAATATTCAATAAGGAAACACATCATAAACTTATGACAATTTACTTGAGTTAACTCTCTGTCTTCGTGTAAACGAACAGTAGAATTGGAAAGTATAATGAATAAGGAAACACATCATAAACTTATGACAAATTACTTCAAAAGGTTAACTCCCCTGTCCTTGTGCAAACGAAAAAATCGGCAAAGTGTAAATCGAACAGTAAAGTAGTATAATCAATAAGAAACACAGGATAAACTTATGAAAGAGACTTCTGGATTAACTCACCTGCAAAAGTGAAAGATAAAAAGGATCTATAAATAGTAATACCTAAGAGAAATCGAAGAGTAAAATGCAAAGTTATGTGAGAATGAAAGGAAAGAGAAAAGGGGAGGATAAAGAGCTGAAGAGACGGTAAAAGAAATGCAAGAAAGTGAAAAGATGAAAAAAGGGATCTATAGTGATAATACCTGGAGAAATCAAAAGGTAAAATGGTAGTTAATGAAAGGAAAAGGAAATGATACGAGCTGAAAGAGAGACAGTAAAAAAGAAATGCCTAAGAAAGGGAAAGATAAAAAAATGGATCTATAAATGATAATCCTGAAAAGAAATCGAAAGGTAAAATGCAAATAGTGAATGAAAGGAAGGGATGCAGGCTGAAGGCAAAGTAAAAAAGTAAAATTGAAAGATAAAGGACCTGTCTTCGTGTAAACGAAAAAAGGTCACATGATCACGGCAAAGTGTTGAAATCGAAAAAGGTAAATTGGAAAGTATATTCCACAAGGAAACACATCATAAACTTATGACAATTTACTTGAGTTAACTCCCTGTCTTCGTGTAAACGAAAAGGTCACATGATCACGGCAAAGTGTTGAAATCGAAAGGTAAATTGGAAAGTATATTCAATAAGGAAACACATCATAAACTTATGACAATTTACTGAGTTAACTCACCTGTCTTCGTGTAAACGAAAAAGGTCATATGATCACGGCAAAGTGTGAAATCGAAACAGTAAATTGAAAGTATATTCAATAGGAAACACATCATAAACTTATGGGACAATTTACTTCTGAGATAACTCCTGTCTCGTCATTCGGCAAAGTGTAGAAATCGAACAATTGGAAAAGTATATTCAATAAGGAAACACATCATAAACTTATGACAATTTACTTCTGAGTTAAATCCTCTGTCTTCGTGTAAAGAAAACACATCATAAACGACAAAAAAAGGTCCACATGATCACGGCAAAGTGTTGAAATCGAAAGGTAAATTGAAAGTATATTCAATAAGGAAACACATCATAAACTTATGACAATTTACTTCTGAGTTAACTCACCTGTCTTCGTGCAAACGAAAAGGTCATATGATCACGGCAAAGTGTAGAAATCAGAAAGTAAATTGAAAGTATATTCAATAAGGAAGCACATCATAAACTTATGACAATTTGCTTCTGAGTTAACTCACCTGTCTTCGTGTAAAACGAAAAAGGTCACATGGTCACGGCAAATTGTAGAAATCGAAAGGTAAATTGAAAGTATATCAAAAGAAAACACATCATAAACTTATGACAATTTTACTTGAGTTAACTCCTCTGTCTTCGTGTAAACGAAAAAGGTCACATGATCACGGCAAAGTGTTGAAATCGAAAGGGTAAATTGGAAAGTATATTCAATAAGGAAACACATCATAAAACTTATGACAATTTACTTGAGTTAACTCACCTGTCTTCGTGTAAACGAAAAAGGTCACATGATCACGGCAAAGTGTTGAAATCGAAAGGTAAATTGGAAAGTATATTCAATAAAACACATCATAAACTTATGACAATTTACTTCTGAGTTAACTCACCTGTCTTCGTGTAAACGAAAAGGTCACATGATCACGGCAAAGTGTTGAAATCGAAAGGTAAATTGAAAAGTATATTCAATAAGAAACACATCATAAACTTATGACAATTTACTTCTGAGTTAACTCCTCTGTCTTCGTGTAAACGAAAAGGTCACATGATCACGGCAAAGTGTTGAAATCGAAGGTAAATTGGAAAGTATATTCAATAAGGAAACACATCATAAACTTATGACAATTTACTACTCTGAGTTAACTCACCTGTCTTCGTGTAAACGAAAAGGTCACATGATCACGGCAAAGTGTTGAAATCGAAAGGTAAATTGAAAAAGTATATTCAATAAGGAAACACATCATAAACTTATGACAATTTACTACTCTGAGTTAACTCTCTGTCTTCGTGTAAAAACGAAAAAGGTCACATGATCACGGCAAAGTGTTGAAATCGAAAGGTAAATTGAAAGTATATTCAATAAGGAAACACATCATAAACTTTATGACAATTTACTTTTGAGTTAACTCACCTGTCTTCGTGTAAACGAAAAAAGGTCACATGATCACGGCAAAGTGTTGAAATCGAAAGGTAAATTGGAAAGTATATTCAATAAGGAAACACATCATAAACTTGACAATTTTATGAGACAATTTAAACGAAAAAGGTCACCTGACGAAAGGTAAATTATATCTCCTCTGTCTTCTTGAGTGTAAACGAAAAAGGTCACATGATCACGGCAAAGTGTTGAAATCGAAAGGTAAATTGGAAAGTATATTCAATAAGGAAACATATCGCAAACTTATGACAATTTACTTCTGAGTTAACTCACCTGTCTTCGTGTAAAACGAAAAAAGGTCACATGATCACGGCAAGTGTTGAAATCGAAAGGTAAATTGGAAAGTATATTCAATAAGACAATTTACTTGAAACACATCATGATCAAACGTTGAAATTAAATGGAAAGTATACAATTTACTTCGACTTGTTAACTCACCGTCTTCGTGTAAACGAAAAAGGTCACATGATCACGGCAAAGTGTTGAAATCGAAAGGTAAATTGGAAAGTTATATTCATAAGGAAACACATCATAAACTTATGACAATTTACTTGAGTTAACTCACCTGTCTTCGTGTAAACGAAAAGGTCATGATCACGGCAAAGTGTTGAAATCGAAAGGTAAATTGGAAAGTATATTCAATAAGGAAACACATCATAAACTTGGCGACAATTTACTTCTGAGTTAACTCCTCTGTCTTCGTGTAAACGAAAAAGGTCACACATGGTCACGGCAAAGTGTTGAAATCGAAAGGTAAATTGAAAGTATATTCAATAAGGAAACACATCATAAACCCTTGACAATTTACTTTGAGTTAACTCACCTGTCTTCGTGTAAACGAAAAAAGGTCACATGATCACGGCAAATTGTTAGAAACCGAATGGTAAATTGGAAAGTATATTCAATAAAGAAACACATCATAAACTTATGACAATTTACTTCTGAGTTAACTCTCTGTCTTCGTGTAAACGAAAAAGGTCACATGATCACGGCAAAGTGTTGAAATCGAAAGGTAAATTGAAAGTATATTCAATAAAAACACATCATAAACTTATGACAATTTACTTCGAGTTAACTCACCTGTCTTCGTGTAAACGAAAAGGTCACATGATCACGGCAAAGTGTTGAAATCGAAAGGTAATTGGAAAGTATATTCAAGGAAACACATCATAAACTTATGACGAATTTACTTCTCTGAGTTAACTCCCTGTCTTCGTGTAAACGAAAAAGGTCCCATGATCACGGCAAAGTGTGTTGAAAAAAGGTAGAAATGGAAAGGTAAAAGTATATTCAATAAGGAAACACATCATAAACTTATGACAATTTACTTTTGAGTTATCTCACCTGTCTTCGTGTAAACGAAAAATGATCACAGCATGGATCACGGCAAATTGTTGAAATCGAAACAGTAAATTGGAAACGAAAAAGGTATTCAATATCGAAAGGAATATTCACATCATAAACTTATGACAATTTACTTCTGAGTTAACTCCTCTGTCTTCGTGTAAACGAAAAAAGGTCACATGATCACGGCAAAGTGTTAAAATCGAAAGGTAAATTGGAAAGTATATTCAATAAGGAAACACATAAACTTATGACAATTTACTTCTGTTAACTCACTCTAAACGAAAAGGTCTTCGTGTAAACGAAAAAGAAAGTATATTCAATGATCACAACTTGAGTTAAAGTGTTAAACGAAAGGAAATGCAAAGTGTTGAAATTGGAAGTATATTCAATAAGGAAACACATCATAAACTTATGACAATTTGCTTGAGTTAACTCACCTGTTCGTGTAAACGAAAAGGTCACATGATCACGGCAAAGTGTTGAAAATCGAAAGGTAAATTGGAAAAGTATATTCAATAAGGAAACACATCATAAACTTATGACAATTTACTTCTGAGTTATCTCCTCTGTCTTCGTGTAAACGAAAAAACAAGACATGATCACGGCAAGTGTTGAAATCGAAAGGTAAATTGAAAGTATATTCAATAAGGAAACACATCATAAACTTATGACAATTTACTTCTGAGGTTAACTCCCCTGTCTTCGTGTAAACGAAAAAGGTCCAGCATGATCACGGCAAAGTGTTGAAATCGAAAGTTAATTGGAAAGTATATTCAATAAGGAAACATCATAAATCAAACTTGAGTTTATGACCAATTCATGGCAATTGTGAGGTAAATTTAACTCACTCTGTCTTCGCGTGTAAACGAAAAAGGTCACATGATCACGGCAAAGTGTTGAAATCGAAAGGTAAATTGAAAGTATATTCAATAAGGAAACACATCATAAACTTATGACAATTTACTTCTGAGTTAACTCACCTGTCTTCGATGTAAACGAAAAAGGTCACATTGATCACGGCAAGTAGAAATCGAAAGGTAAATTGGAGTATATTCAATAAGGAAACACATCATAAACTTATGACAATTTACTTGAGTTAACTCACCTGTTCGTGTAAACGAAAAAGGTCACATGATCATTGGCAAAGTGTTGAAATCGAAAGGTAAATTGAAAGTATATTCAATAAGGAAACACATCATAAACTTATGACAATTTACTTCTGAGTTAACTCACCTGTCTTCGTAAAACGAAAAGTCACATGATCACGGCAAAAAACGAAAAGGTCATAAAATGATCACGGCAAAACGAAAGTGTTGAAATCGAAAGTAAATTGAAAGTATATTCAATAAGGAAAACACATCATAAACTTATGACAATTTACTTTGAGTTAACTCCCCCTGTCTTCGTGTAAACGAAAAAAGGTCACATGATCACGGCAAATTGTAGAAACGAAAGTAAATTGAAAGTATATTCATTAAGGAAACACATCATAAACTTATGACAATTTACTTCTGAGTTAACTCACCTGTCTTGTAAACGAAAAGGTCAATACGATCACGGCAAATTGTTGAAATCGAAAGGTAAATTGAAAGTATATTAAGGAAACACATCATAAACTTAAATTTACTTTTGAGTTAACTCCTCTGTCTTCGTGCAAAACGAAAAGGTCACATGATCACGGCAAAGTGTAGAAATCGAAAGGTAAATTTATTCAATAAGGAAACACATCATAAACTTATGAAGGAGTTAACTCCTCTGTCTTCGTGTAAACGAAAAAGGTCACATGATCATTGTAAATTGTAGAAATCGAACAGTAAATTGGAAAGTGAGGAAATACATCATAAATAGTACATTTACTTGAGATAAATCTGGAAACGAAAAAGGTATATTCACGGCAAAGTGTTGAAATCGAAAGGTAAATTGGAAAGTATATTCAATAAGGAAACATACATCATAAAATTTATAATTTACTTGAGTTAACTCACCTGTCTTCGTGCAAAACGAAAAAGGTCACATGATCATGGCAAATTGTAGAAATCGAAAGGTAAATTGGAAAGTATATTCAATAAGGAAACACATCATAAACTTATGGACAATTTTATTTCTGAGTTAACTCCTGTCTTCGTGTAAACGAAAAGGTAACATGGTCACGGCAAAAGTGTTGAAATCGAAAGGTAAATTGAAAGTATTCAATAAGGAAACACATCATAAACTTATGACAATTTATTTGAGTTAAAATAAACGAAAAGGAAATTGGTCACGGCAAAGTGTTGAAATCGAAATTAAATTGAAAGTATATTCAATAAGGAAAACTTAAACTTAAGACAATTTACTTCTGAGTTAACTCCTCTGTCTTCGTGTAAACGAAAAGGTCACATGATCAATAAGTAAAGGTTGTTGAAATCGAAAGGTAAATTGGAAAGTATATTCAATAAGGAAACACATCATAAACTTATGACAATTTACTGACTTAGTTAACTCCCTGTCTTCGTGTAAAACGAAAAAGGTCACATGATCGGCAAAAGTGTTGAAATCGAAAGGTAAATTGGAAAGTATATTCAATAAGGAAACACATCATAAACTTATGACAATTTACTTCTGACTTAACTCCTCTGTCTTCGTGTAAACGAAAAGGTCACATGATCACGGCAAAGTGTTGAAATCGAAAAGGTAAATTGAAAGTATATCTAATAAGGAAACACATCATAAAACTTGGCGACAATTTATTTCTGACTTAATCTGTCTTCGTGTAAACGAAAAGGTCACATGATCACGGGCAAAGTGTTGAAAATCGAAAGGTAAATTGAAAGTATATTCAATAAGGAAACACACTAAACTTTGACAATTTACTTCTGAGTTAACTCACCTGTCTTCGTGTAAACGTAAAAGGTCCATGGTCACGGGCAAAGTGTTGAAATCGAAAAGGTAAATTGGAAAGTATATTCAATAAGGAAAGGAAAGGATGCAAGTACTGAAAGATACAGTATCTATAAATGCAAAATAAGTGAAAAATGAAAGGATCTAAAATGCAAAAAACTGAATGAAAGGAAAGAGTAAAAGGATAGTGAATGAAAGGAGGATACGAGCTAAAAAAAAAATGCAAAATTGAAAGATAAAAAGGGATCTATAAATGATAATACCTGAAAAAATCAGAAGAAAAATGCAAAGTAGTGAATGAAAGGAGGGATACGAGCTGAAGAGACAGTAAAAAGAAATACAAAGTATTGAAAAGATAAAAGGATCTATAAAAATAATACCAGAAGAAATCAGAAAGTAAAATGCAAAAGTGAATGAATGAAAGGAAAGGATACAAGAGCTGAAGAGACAGTACAAAAAATGCAAAATGTGAAAATAAAAAAGGGATCTATAAATAGTAATACCTGAAAAATCGAAGGTAAAATGCAAAAAGAGAAATGAATGAAAGGAAAGGAATACGAAAAGGTCACATGATCACGGCAAAGTGTAGAATGAACAGTAAATTGAAAGTATATTGAAACACATCATAAACTTATTTATTTTGAGTTAACTCAACGTCTTCAGCAAACGAAAAGGTCACATGATCACGGCAAAGCGTTGAAATCGAAAGGTAAATTGAAAGTATATTCAATAAGGAAACACATCATAAACTTATGACAATTTTACTTGAGTTAACTCCACCTGTCTTCGTGTAAACGAAAAAGGTCACATGATCACGGCAAAGTGTTGAAATCGAAAGGTAAATTGGAAAGTATATTCAATAAGGAAACACATCATAAACTTATGACAATTTACTTCTGAGTTAACTCCTCTGTCTTCGTGTAAACGAAAAAGGTCACATGATCACGGCAAATTGTTGAAATCGAAAGCAAAATTGAAGTATATTCAATAAGGAAACACATCATAAACTTATGACAATTTACTTTGAGTTAACTCACCTGTCTTCGTTAACGAAAAAGGTCACATGATCACCTGTCTTGAAAGTATAAATAAGGAAAACAGGTCAGTGACACCTACTTTCGAGTTAACCTACCTGTCTTCGTGTAAACGAAAAATCACAACCAAAAGTGTTGAAATTGTGCGTAAGTTGGAAGTATATTCAATAAGAAAACACATCATAAACTTGCGATAATTTACTTTTGAGTTAACTCCACCTGTCTTCGTGTCACGCGTGCGTTGAAACTGAAAGGTAAAGGTCATTCAAGGAAATACATCATAAACTTATGCACTTGAGTTATTCGCGTAAACGAAAAAGGATGAATCAAGTGTTGAAATCGAAAGGTAAATTGAAAAAGTATATTCATTGAAACACATCATAAACTTATGACAATTTACTTCTTGAGTTATCTCACCTGTCTTCAAAAAGCGAAAAGGTCCCCGCATGATCACGGCAAAGTGTTGAATCGAAAGGTAAATTGGAAAAGTATATTCAATAAAGAAGCACATCCTTAAACTTAGGACAATTTACTTACAGGTTAACTCTCTGTCTTCGTGTAAAACGAAAAGGTCATGATGATCACGGCAAAGTGTTGAAACTGAAAAAGGTAAATTTGAAAGTATATTCAATAGAAACACATCATAAACTTATGACAATTTACTTTTGATTAACTCACCTGTCTTCGTGTAAACGAAAAGGTATGATCAAGTTGAAACAGCGTAAATTGAAAGTATATTCAATACAAAACATTGACAAACTTCTTGAGTTAACTCATCGTGTAAACGAAAAAGGTTGGAAAGCAAGTATTCAATATTAAAATAAGTAAAACGAAAACATCATAAAGTGTTGAAATCGAAAGGTAAAATTGAAAAGTAATTAAGGAAACACTTAAACTTATGACAATTAACTCGAGTTAACTCACCTGTCTTCGTGCAAACGAAAAGGTCACATGATCGCGGCAAATTCGAAATCGAAAGGTAAATTGGAAAGTATATTCAATAAGGAAACACATCATAAATTTATGACAATTTAGCTACTTGAGTTAACTCCACCTGTCTTCGTGCAAACGAAAGGTCACATGATCACAGCAAAGTGTGTAAATTGAAAGTATACAGTAAAGTTGAGAAACCTGTCTTCGTGTAAACGAAAAAGGTCACAGATTCAAAGTGCTGAAACGAAAGGTAAATTGGAAACATATTCAATAAGGAAACACATCATAAACTTATGACAATTTACTTCTGAGTTACTCACCTGTCTTCGACACCAAACGAAAAAGGTCACATGATCACAACGGAAATTGAAAAGTGCATTCAATAAAACATCATAAACTTATGAAACTTCTGAGTTAACCACCTGTCTTCGTGCAAAAAAATCACATGATCACAACAAGTGTCACATAAGTTGGAAACACATCATAAAACATTAAAAGGACAATTTACTTCTGAGTTAACTCACCTGTTCGTGCAAACGAAAAAAGGTCACAAGATCACGGCAAAGTGGAATCGAAAGGTAAATTGGAAAGTATATTCAATAAGGAAACACATCATAAACTTATGACAATTTACTTTGAGTTAACTCACCTGTCTTCGTGTAAACGAAAAATGGTCACATGATCACGGCAAAGTAAGTTGAAAATTCGAATGAAAACATTGAAACTTATGACAATTTACCTAAGGTTAACTCCTGTTAAACAAATGAAAAAGGTCACATAGTCACAACAAATTGTAGAAATCGAAAAGGCAAATTGGAGAAGTTGAGTTAACAATTTACTTCTGAGTTAACTCCTCTGTGCTTGGAAAAGTCATATGATCACGGCAAATGAAATCGAAAAGGTAAATTGAAAATTATATTCAAGGAAACACATCATAAACTTATGACAATTTACTTCTGAGTTAACTCACCTGTCTTCGTGTAAACGAAAAAGGTCACATGATCACGGCAAAGTGTAGAAATCGAACAGTAAATTGGAAAGTATTCAATAAGGAAACACATCATAAACTTATGACAATTCACTTCCTGAGTAAAAGGATCTATAAATGATAAAGAAAATCATAAAGTAGTGAATGAAAGAGGGATAAAAGACGATCTATAAAAAAGGATCTATAAATGATAATACTGAAGAAAATCGAAGGTAAAATGCAAAGTAGTGAATGAAAGGAAAGGATATACGAGCTGAAGAGACAGTACACAAGAAATACAAAAAAGTGAAAGATAAAAAAGGGATCTATAAATGATAAATACTGGAAAATCGAAAGAGTAAAATACAAAGTAAAGTGAATAAAAGGAAAGAAAGTATACGAGCTGAAGAGACTTTTAAAGAAATGCAAATAAGTGAAAATAGAAAGAGATCTATAAATGATAATACTGAAAGAAATCGAAAGGTAAAAATGCAAAGTAGTGATTGAAAAGGAAAGGGATAAGGATACGAGCTGAAAGAGACGGTAAAAAGAACTGCAAAAGAAGTGAAAGATAAAAGGGATCTATAATGATAATACCTGAAGAAATCGAAGGTAAAATGCAAAATGAAATGAATGAAAGGAAAGGATAGGCTGAATGGAAGAAATGATAAGGAAACACATTGAAAAATGACCAATTTGCTTCTAGTTAAACCTGTCTTCGTGCAAAGGTAAATTGCAAAGTAGAATTCAAGGTAAATTGGAAATAAGGCATCAACCGCGACAATTTACTTTGAGTTAACTCCTCTGTCTTCGTGTAACGAAAGGTGATTGCAAAGTGTTGAAAATCGAAAAAATTGGAAAGTATATTCAATAAGGAAACACATCATAAACTTATGACAATTTACTTCTGAGTTAACTCCCTGTCTTCGTGTAAACGAAAAGGTCACATGATCACGGCAAAGTGTTGAAATCGAAAGGTAAATTGAAAGTATATTCGTGAAACACATCATAAACGAAAAGGTTAAACTCACCTGTCTTTGTGTAAAACGAAAAAGGTCACATGATCACGGCAAATTGTAGAAATCGAAGGTAAATTGGAAAATATATTCAATAAGAAACACATCATAAACTTATGACAATTTTACTCCACCTTGCAAACGTTAACTCCTGTCTTCGTGTAAACGACAAAAGGTCACATGATCACGGCAAAGTTTTGAAATCGAAAAAAGTAAATTGGAAAAAGATATATTCAATAAGGAAACACATCATAAACCTATGAAATTTACTTTGAGTTAACTCCTGTCTTCCGTGCAAACGAAAAAGGTCACATGATCAGCAAAAGTAGAAATTGAACCTGCAAAGAAAAAGGTCTTCGTACACATCATAAACTTATGAAAAAGGTCACCTCTGTCTTCGTGTAAACGAAAAAGGTCCACATGATCACGGCAAATTATAGCAAACGAAGGTAAATTGGAAGATATATTCAATAAGAAACATATCATAAACTCATGACAATTTACTTCTAGGGTTAACTCTCCGTCTTCATGTAAACGAAAAAGGTCACATAATCCAGCAAAGTGTTGAAATCAGACGGTAAATTGGAAATATATTTCAATAATGACAATTTGCTTCTGAGTTAACTCACCTGTCTTCGATACCAAACGAAAAGGGTCACATGATCACAACAAAAGTGTAGAAATTGAACAGTAAAGTTGGAAAATATATATTCAATAACGAAACAGATCATAAACTTATGACAATTTACTTCGAGTTAACTCCTCTGTCTTCATTTGCAAACGAACGAAAAAGGTCACATGATCACGGCAAATTGTAGAAATCGAAAAGTAAATTGGAAAGTATATTCAATAAGGAAACACATCATAAACTTATGACAATTTACTTCTGGGTTAACTCACCTGTCTTCGATGCAAACGAAAAAAAGGTCACATGATCACAACAAGTGTAGAAATTAGAAAGTAATTTGGAACGCATCATAAACTTATGACAATTTATGATTCAATGCAAAACGAAAAGGTCACATGATCACAAACAGAAATCGAAAAGTAAATTGAAAAGTATTCAATAAGGACATAAATTTGACAATTTACTGAGGTTAACTCCTCTGTCTTCGTGCAAACGAAAAGGTCACCTTGATCGGGCAAAGTGTAGAAATTGAAAGTAAGTTGGAAAGTATATTCAATAAGGAAACGATCATAAACTTAAGGACAATTTACTTCTGAGTTAACTCACCTGTCTTCGTGCAAACGAAAAAGGTCATGATGATCAATTGTAGAAACTGAAAGTAAATAGAAATCAATAAGGAAACGGTAAACTTGGAACTTGAGTTAACTCTGTATAAATTCACATGAAGGCAAAACAAATCGAAATCATAAAGTATATTATGAACACATAAACTTATGATAATTTACTTGATCCTCACCTGTCTTCGTGCAAACAAAAAAGGTCACATGATCCGGCAAATTGTAGAAAATTAGACAGTAAATTGGAACATTATATTCAATAAGGAAACACATCATAAACTTATGACAATTTACTTCTGAGTTAACTCCCTCTCTTGTGCAAAACGAAAAAGGTCATATGATCACGGCAATTATAGAAATCGAACACAAATTGGAAAAGAGTATTGAATAAGGAAACACATCATAAACTTATGACAAATTTACTTCCGAGTTAACTCCTCTGTCTTTTGCAAACGAAAAAGGTCACATGATCACGCCAAATTGTATAAAATCGAAAAGAAAATTAGAAAGTATATTCAATAACGAAACAGAACATAAACTTATGACAATTTACTTCTGAGTTAACTCACCTGTCTTCCGTGTAAAACGAAAAGGTCATGATCACAGCAAAGTGTAGAAATTGAAACAGTAAGTTGGAAAATATTCAATAATGAAACACATCATAACTTATGACAATTTACTTCTGAGTTAACTCCCTGTCTTCGTGCAAACGTAAAAGGTCACATGATCACAGCAAAGTGTAGAAATTGAACAAATCAAAAGGAAACATCATAAACTTATGGACTTACTTCTGAGTTAATCATTCGAAAATAAGGATCAACACATCAGTTGGAAACTTATGACAATTTGACTTCTGAGTTAACTCACCTGTCTTCGTGCAAACGAAAAAGGTCACATGATCACGGCAAAGTGTAGAAATCGAACAGTAAATTGAAAGTATATTCAATAAGGAAACACATCATAAACTTATGACAATTTACTTCTGAGTTTAACTCACCTGACTTCGTGCAAACGAAAAAGGTCACCGCATGATCACGGCAAAGTGTAGAAATCGGACAGCAAATTGGAAAGTATATTCAATAAGGAAACATATCATAAACTTATGACAATTTACTTCTGAGTTAACTCACCTGTCTTTGTGCAAACGAAAAAGGTCACATGATCACGGCAAAGTGTAGAAATCGAAACGATAAATTGGAAAGTATATTATTCAATAACGTGCAAACAGAACATAAACAAATTTATGACAGTAAATTACTTCTAAGGAACACATTAACTCACCTGTCTTCCCTACCAAACGAAAAGGTCACATGATCACGGCAAAGTGTAGAAATTGAACAGTAAGTTGGAAAAGTATATTGAATAAGGAAACATCATAAACTTATGACAATTTACTTCTAGGTTAACTCCTCTGTCTTCGTGCAAACGAAAATGGTCACATGATCATGGCAAATTGTATAAATCGAACAGTAAATTGGAAAGTATATTCAATAAGGAAACACATCATAAACTTATGACAATTTACTTCTGAGTTAACTCCCTGTCTTCGTGCAAACGAAAAGGTCATGATCATGGCAAATTATGAAATCACAGAAAGTATATTCAATAAGAAAACACATCATAAACTTTATGACAATTTACTTGAGTTAACTCCTCTGTCTTTGTGCAACGAAAGGTCACATGATCAATAATTGTACAAATCGACATAAATTAAATATTATGGAAACACATCATAAACTTATGACTTCTGAGTTAACTCACCTGCCTTCGTGCCAACGAAAAAGGTCCACATATGATCACAACAAATTGTAGAAATCGAACAGTAAATTGGAAAGTATATTCAATAAGGAAACACATCATAAACTTATGACAATTTACTTTGAGTTATACTGTCTTCGTGCAAACGAAAAGGTCCACATGATCACAACAAAGTGTAGAAATCGGACAGCAAGTTGGAAAGTATATTCAATAAGGAAACACATCATAAACTTATGACAATTTACTTCTGAGTTAACTCACCTGATCACTTCAAAGGTACAAATTGAAAAAATGGTCATAATGAAACACAGCAAATTGACAATTTACTTTGAGTTAAAATTCGCAAAACGAACAGTAAATTGGAAAGTAAGTTATATTCAATAAGGAAACACATCATAAACTTATGACAATTTTACTTTGAGTTAACTCACCTGTCTTCGTGCAAACGAAAAAACGATCAAAAAGGTCAGTAAGTTGGAAAAGTATACATGATCAAACTTATGACAAATTGAGTTAACTCACCTGTTTTCGTGCAAACGAAAAAGAAATCAAGCAAAGTGTAGAAATTGGAAAGTATATTCAATAAGAAACACATCATAAAACTTATGACAATTTACTTCTGAGTTAACTCCTCTGTCTTCGTGCAAACGAAAATGGTCACATGATCACGGCAAAGTGTTGAAATTGAACAGTAAATTGAAAGTATATTCAATGGAAACACATCATAAACCTATGACAATTTATTTCTGAGTTAACTCCCCTGTCTTCGTCACGGCAAACGAAAAGGTATACATGATCTAAACGGCAAACAAGTGTACGAAAAATCGAACAGTAGAAATTGGAAAGTATATTCAATAAGGAAACACATCATAAACTTATGACAAATTACTTCCTGAGTTAACTCCCTGTCTTCGTGCAAACGAAAAAGGTCCACATGATCACGGCAAATTGTAGAAATCGAACAGTAAATTGGAAAGTATATTCAATAAGAAACACATCATAAACTTATGACAAATTACTTCGAGTTAACTCCCCTGTCTTTGTGCAAACGAAAAAGGTCACATGATCATGACAAATTGTAAAATCGAACAGTAAATTGGAAATTATATTCAATAAGGAAACACATCATAAACTTATGACAATTTACTTCTGATTTAACTCCTCTGTCTTTTGTGCAAACGAAAAAGGTCACATGATCACGGCAAATTGTACCAAATCCAATAAGGAAACATTATAAACTTGCGTAAATTGGAAAAAGTATATTCAGCAAATTGTACAAAACACAGTAAATTGAAAGTATATTCATTAAACTTATACATTAATTTACTTCTGATTTAACTCCTCTACCTTCGTGCAAACGAAAAGGTCACATGATCACGGCAAATTGTAGAAATTGAACAGTAAATTGGAAATTATATTCAATAAGGAAACACATCATAAACTTATGACAATGTACTTCTGAGTTAACTCACCTGTCTTCGTGCAAACGAAAAAAGGTCCATGATCACGGCAAAGTGTAGAAATTGAACAGTAAATTGGAAAGTATATTCAATAAGAAACACATCATAAACTTATGACAATTTACTTCTGAGTTAACTCACCTGTCTTCGTGCAAACGAAAAAGGTCACATGATCACGGCAATTGTAGAAATCGAAAGGTAAATTGGAAAGTATATTCAATAAGGAAACACATAAACTTCTATGACAATTTACTTGAGTTAACTCACCGTGTTCGTGCAAACGAAAAAGGTCATGATCACGGCAAATTGTTAGAAATCGAAAGGTAAATTGAAAGTATATTCAATAAGGAAACACATCATAAACTTATGACAATTTACTTCTGAGTTAACTCCTCTGTCTTCGTGTAAACGAAAAGGTCACATGATCACGGCAAAGTGTTGAAATCGAAAGGTAAATTGGAAAAGTATATTCAATAAGAAACACATCTTAAACTTACTTGACAATTTTACTTCTGAGTTAACTCCTGTCTTCGTGCAAACGAAAAAATGATCACAAATGAAATCGAACAGTAAATTGGGTATATTCAAAAGGGGGACAATTTCGAACAGTGCAAACGAAAAAATTGGTCACAACAAATTGTATATTGAAAAGTAAATTGGAAAGGTATATTCAATAAACACATCATAAACTTATGACAATTTACTTCCGAGTTAACTCACCTGTCTTCGTGCAAACGAAAAGGTCACATGATCACGGCAAATTGACAATTTAGAAATCGAACGAAAAGGTCAAATTGGAAAGTGTTGAATTCAATAAGGAAACACATCATAAGGAAAACTTATGACAATTTTACTTCTGAGTTAACTCCTCTGTCTTCGTACCAAACGAAAAGGTCACATGATCACGGCAAATTGTAGAAATCGAACAGTAAATTGGAAAGGTATATTCAATAAAACACATCATAATCATGACAATTTGCTTTTGGTTAACTCCTCTGTCTTTGTGCAAACGAAAAGGTCACATGATCACAACAAAAGTGTAGAAATCGAACAGTAAATTGGAAAGTATATTCAATAAGGAAAACACATCATAAACTTATGACAATTTACTTCTGAGTTAACTCACCTGTGTCTTCGTGCAAAAAAAAAGGTCCACATGATCACAGCAAATTGTAGAAATCGAAAGGTAAATTGGAAAGTATATTCAATAAGGAAACACATCATAAACTTATGACAATTTACTTCTGAGATAACTCACCTGTCTTCGATAGCAAAAGAAAAAGGTCACATGATCACGGCAAATTGTAGAAATCGAAAGGTAAATTGGAAAAGTATATTCAATAAGGAAACACATCATAAACTTATGACAATTTACTTGAGTTAACTCCTCTGTCTTCGTGCAAACGAAAAAGGTCACATGATCCACGGCAAATTGTAGAAATCGTAAAAAAGTATAAATTGGAAAGTATATTCAATACTGAGGGCTTACATCGTCTTCGTGTAAACTTATGACCAATTTAAACAAAGGTAAATTGAAAGTATATTCAATAATTTAACTCTATGACTTGTCTTCTGCCTTCGTGCAAACGAAAAAGGTCACATGATCACGGGTAAAGTGTAGAAATCGAACAGTAAATTGGAAAGTATATTCAATATGACCTACTTCTGAGGGAGTTCGTGCAAACACATCAAGGAAACACATCAAACTTATGACAAATTTACTTCTGAAACACATTAACTTAAGGACCTGTCTTCGTGCAAACGAAAAAGGTCACATGATCACAAATTGTAGAAATTGAACAGTAAATTGAAAGTATATTCAATAAGAAAACATCATAAACTTATGACAATTTACTTCTGAGTTAACCACCTGTCTTCGTGCAAACGAAAAAGGTCACATGATAAGTGTTCAAGTGAAAGAAACAATTGTCTTCAAAAAACACATAAATGAAAGTATATTCAAGGAAACTTATGACAATTTACTTCTGAGTTAACTCACCTGTCTTCGTGCAAACGAAAAAGGTCACATGATCACAACAAAGTGTAGAATCGAACAGTAAGTTGGAAAGTATATTCAATAAGGAAACACATCATAAACTTATGACAATTTACTTCTGAGTTAACTCACCTGTCTTCGTGCAAACGAAAAATGGTCACATGATCAAACGGCAAATTGAAAGTATATTCAATAAAGAAAACAAATAAACTTATGACAAAAGGTAAATTGGAAAAAGGTCACATATCACGGCAAATTCGAAAAGTAAATTGGAAAATATTCAATAAGGAAACACATCATAAACTTATGACAATTTACTTCTGAGTTAACTCCTCTGTCTTCGTGCAAAACGAAAAGGTCACATGATCACGGCAAATTGTAGAA